TGCAAATGGGTCGAAAATTCAAGGATTGTGTCAGGAAGATGGTACTACAGAATTCAGACAAGTGTGAGAAATGAGAACAAGAGGGCGGAACAGAAGAGAAGAAAGACTAATAACCAGATTAAGATTTGGACACACTGGACTTAACAGCACATTGTACAAGATTCAGAAGCACGATGTGAGCACTGTGGACAAGAGGAAACTATAGAACATGTTATTTTGGTATGTCAAAAATATGAATGTCACAGAAGACGTTTCATAAAACAATTAGGAAAAATCAAAAACATTTAGTATAAATTACAAAAGGAAACAAGATGTAAAAGTATTCAAATTTTTATACATTTTTTAGAAACACAAAATTCGAAAAGAGAACATAAACATGATTGGAGGTGAAGGAAGGTGACTCCACCTCAGTGAACAACTATCAACAAATCTCTAAACTCTGTATTTTAGCCAAAAAAATAATAATAACTGATAAACTCAAATCAAAAAGTATTTGGACTCATTTAACATCTTACCTCCACATCAGTCTGGTTTCAGGAAACAACACAGCACAACAACTGCTTCACTGAAGGTTCTTAATGACGTTGTTGAAGCACTGGATGCTAAGGATTATTGTGCTGCACTTTTCTTAGACCTGTCCAAAGCTTTTGACACTGTGGATCATAACATCTTGTGTCATAAACTCTCAGAAATTGGTTTCTCAGAACACACCATTGGTTGGTTCTCAAACTATCTTTCATATCGGAGGCAATGTGTTCAACATAATGGTACTTCTTCCAGTTATTTAACGGTCAACAATGGTGTACCACAAGGCTCAGTCTTAAGACCCACCCTCTTCACAATCTACATAGGTAATGTAGGTCAGAGCATTCCTGATGCATTCTTACATTTCTATGCTGATGACACAGTTGTTTATTATCGAGCTAAAACTTTTGCTATGGTTTTCCAACTTTTGCAATCTGCTTTTGACATCATCCAGTCAGATATGTTCTGTCTCAAACTTGTCCTAAACACTGACAAAACCAAAGGGATGTTGTTTTCTAACAGGAAGTCAGTCCCAGCAGTTCTTCCTTCGATTTTATCCTTGAATGGTGTCCCTGTTGAGTTTATTGAATCCTACAAATATTTGGGTATCTTGGTCGTTTCGCATCTTTCCTTTTTCAAGGATTCAAGAAGTCAATATTCTTTATTGTCATTCGCATCTCATGTAGTACATGAGGTGGAACAAAATTGTGTACACAGGATCCCAGTTCCATCCAACAATAGCAAAAATATAAAGTGTAAAAAGAAACAGTAAATAATGGTCTAAGATATCAACTAAGATATACGCTAAACGAATGTCCAATGGTATGCTTAAGATACGCTGTTCACTAATAGTGCAAAACAATACACTGAACAGCAGCAGCATGATTCTCATAGGTTCTGTTCGGCTATAGTTCACACGCTAATGCGAGCGAAGTCGAGCTCAGAACCAACCATAAAACTAACACAAACTGGGATTTATTCAAAGCATGCAACAAAAATACAGAAACAAGGCGCCAAAAGTGAAAAAAAAAAAAAATCTACAGCAGCATGGTCCTATTGGCAGAGTGGTTCTGATGACAGTGAGGTTATCTTAGCAACATTGTCCAGTTAGCAGCATGATACTGTAAGCAGTGAGGTTCAGTTAGCAGTGAGGTTTCTTTTAGCAACATGGTCCTGTTGGCACCATGATACTGTTAGCAGCGTGGTCTTGTTAGCAGCGTTAGCAGGTCCTGTCAGCAGCTTGATGATAATAAGGCCTGCAGCAGACTGCCCTCCAGAACCAGGTCCAGCAGAGAGAGAACATCCAAGGTTCCATTCAAGGTTCTTTAAGCTCCACATGGAAAACTTGGTAAGGAATCTTTTTCATTCATTCAACCTTTATTTAGACAGGTAAATCCCGTTGAGCCTCGAGGACTCATTTACAAGAGAGACCTGATTTCAACAAAGAATGACGACAACAATGGACAACAGCAACAACAATAGACAGTTATAAAACGGCATACAGAATTTAAAAATATATATTTTTACAAATGGGCAGCACGGTGGTGCAACTGGTAGAGCTGCTGCCTCTCAGCGAGCAGTTCCTTGGTTCAAACCCCGGTCCAGGGGCCTTTCTGGGTGGAGTTTGCATGTTCTCTCCGTGCATGCGTGGGTTTTCTCCGGGTACTCCGGTTTCCTCCCACAGACCAAAAACATGCATGTTAGGCTGATTGGTAACTCTAAATTGTCCCTAGGTGTGAGTGAGAGAGTGAATGGTTGTTTGTCTCGTTTGTCTCTATGTGTCCCTGTGATGGACTTGCGACCCGTCCAGGGTGTACCCCGCCCCTCGCACGATTGCTGGACATGGGCACCGGCGACCCCCGTGACCCAAAATGGAATAAACGGGTAAAGATAATGGATGGATGGATATTTTTACAAATAGGATGGCAACAAAAAGAAAGTAACAAAACCAGTTAGATTATAAGGCAAATGTAGAAAACTAAAAACAGGAACATGTCTGCATTGGTCCTTGCCAGTAGTCCAACAGCTTTTTAAAGCCACTTAGAGAGGTCAAGGTCGAGAGCTTCAGGTCTTTTTGTAAGATATTCCAGGAAACAGGAGCAGAGTAGGAGAAGGTCCCTTTGCCTAGTTCAGTCCACACTGAGGGAACACTGCAGGTAATAATGTCCTGAGAGCGCACGCTGTAGCTGCACTCACACAGAGACATGTAGGAGGAGATGTATGAAGGCAGCAGACCAAGAAGTGATTAAAAGATGAAAATGTACCAGTGGGAGAGTCTGCATGAAGTTAATGATGTCCAGTTAACCAGTGAATACTGGGTGCAGTGGTGGGTACAATAATCACAGCCAGTTATGAATCTTAGTGCACCTTGATAGACAGCATCCAACATCTGCAGGGTTCTTGTAGGAGCGTTCATGTAAATCTGAAAGTTAAATTAGGTTTCTTTTTCAGATATAAATCTTGTCTAACTCTGAATGCTATGAAACATCTTGTAACTGCGACTTCCTTTCCTTCCATTGATTACGGTGACATTATTTACATGAATGCTCCTACAAGAACCCTGCAGATGTTAGATGTTGTCTATCACGGTGCACTAAGATTCATAACTGGTTATAACTACCATACCCATCACTGCACCCTGTATTCACTGGTTAACTGGACATCATTAACTTCACGCAGACACTCTCACTGGTCATTTTCATCTTTAAATCACTTCTTGGTCTGCTGCCTTCATACATCTCCTCCTACATGTCTCTGCGTGAGTGCAGCTACAGCGTGTGCTCTCAGGACATTATTACCTGCAGTGTTCCCTCAGTGTGGACTGAACTAGGCAAAAGAGCCTTCTCCTACTCCGCTCCTGTTTCCTGGAATATCTTGCAAAAAGATCTGAAGCTCTCAACCTTGACCTCTCTAATGCCCCTTTTCCATTAGTACCTTTAGTACTGGTACAGCACGGTTCTACACTGTACTCGGCTCGGTATGGTACATGTTGTGTTTCCATTATGCTTTCAGTACCGGTTCCAGTGGGCTGGGTTCAAATTGAATCTGACAACTGCTAAGTTCATGGCAAAAACCAATGCAGACATGTTCCTGTTTATAGTTTTCTACATCGCTTTATAATGTAGCTGTTTTTTGCTTAGTTTTTTTTTATATACCAGTTTATTTCATTTGTTCTTCTCAATTTGTATCTTTCTTTTATGATTGTCTACTGCTGTCATCACTCTTTGTTAAAATCAGGTCTCCCTTGTAAATGAGTCCCTGAGGTTCAATGGAATTAACCTGTATAAATAAAAGTTGAATGAATGAATGAATGAATGAATGAATGAATGAATGAATGAATGAATGAATGAATGAATGAATGAATGAATGAATGAATGCAGACTTGGCCATTTTGATCCACACTGCGTACAAGTAGATGGTGGCAATGCACATACCCCTTCTGTTGTTTGCCAACCACCAAAAACACCATTAAGAAGAAGAAGTTTATAGTTGGAAAGCTTTTCTTTTTTAATACAAAAAAACAACTTTATAACAGTTCACAATACAAAGTTCAAAACAAAATCCAGAACAATAATCAAAACTTAACAACATAACACAAACTTTTTAAACAGAATAAGAAAACAATACTTTGGTTTACCTGTACACTCCTACAGTGGACCAACCCCATAACTGGGAGTCCTCTCCCACATGGACTCCTCCCAGCAGTGTTGCCAGGTGTATGATAATTATCTTACTTGTACGACAATTTTGCCCTCTGTACATCAATAATCCCCAAAAAGGCCAAATATACGATAATTTGACCATTCCGTGAATGTGCGGTTGTAATCGGTTGTCATCAGCCTCTCGCAACTGTTTGTCTGAGATTTTTTGTGAACCCTGAAGGCATCTGTGTCGCAAACAGATGCACGATCGTGCTTTTCTAAATGTTACCTATGAGTGACGTGACGTAAGAACAACGGCCTTGATTGTTGAATAGTCGGCTGTGCTCGCCCCATGAGTGAGGAAAAGAAAAGAAGAAGCAGAATCGGTCTGGAAGTGGACCCATCACTACTATAGTGCATAAATAGATGTGTCATTTTGGTTATGACGGGTGTACGATAATGTCCCTCAAAATACGATAATTTTATGTCTCTAGTACGATAATCCTACATTTCTCACCTGGCAACACTGCCTCCCAGGCGGAGGGGGAAAATCCAACAATAGTCCACGTGACCTGACTGAGCGTTGTTGGATTTCTTTCCCTTGATTATTGAGCATGAACTTTAATGTAAAGTGCATCTTTTTTTTTTTTTAATTGTTAGAAATTCTGGCAGTGCTGTATTTTTTTTACGTGAGGACTTTTATTCTGAAAGTTCATTTCCCGGAAGTCATTTGTGAAGCTAGCAACACGGTTTGTCCCAGACACCACGGAGCTGGTTATTCGTTGCTCTCTGTCCCGAAGACCTGACGTGACATTTAATTCGGGTTTCCTTCCGCTTCTTTTAGCTCTCCTGTTTGTTTTGGCGTCTTCTCTGGTGTTGACGGGGACGATGGTTCTGTCAACATCACAACAAGTCGCTTTGGCGTTTACGGCCGTGCTCTTCACGTTTGTCGTCCTGCCGAGATTATTCGGTGTCGGTGGAGGGACAGCGGGCAAAGAAACTAAATTCGACTCTCGTTACAACAAAAAAGGTAATAAATGTTTCTTATGTGTCCTTCTCGCTGTCTGTGTTTGTTGCTTTGCTTCGTTTTAACAAAATAAAAGTCGTCTGAGCATCACTGTATAGTGTGCATATTATAATGCAGATTAAATTCAGATATGTTCCTTAAGCTGGAGATAAATGTTGAGGACAGTGGGATAAGATGTCCATCACGTGCTGTAGCTGTCTTCACTGTTCACGTCATTGTTTTTAATTCATTTCAGTTTGTAGCGCCAGTTCACACTGAACAGGAACACTCGTATAATGTAAAATCAGTTATTGACAATATTTCTCTAAAGAGCCACTTCGTCACAGTTTCCCATCCTAAGCGAGCCCCAGATGCAACAGTGGAAAGGAAAAAGAAACCTCCAACAGAACCAGGCTCAGGACAAGTGGCCTCCTGGCTGGTTTGAGAGGACAGGAAGGAACAGATACACAATGGCAGGTCCAGGATGGAGGCCAAAAAAACTGAAATCACATGTTCAGGAACGGGGCTGGCCCAAGCCTCCATGGGGCCCTAAGCGAAATTTGGTTTGGGGCCCTCTATTTCTGCTAATAATGTGGATTACTGCAATCAACAGTCAGATCAGATCATTCACCCACCTAACATAAACTCATTGCAACTCTGACAGCCCTGCTTGGGGCCCCGAAGACCAATTTTCTTTCTTTCTGCATGTATAGAGAATAATTTGCATGATATCACACATATCTATCTATCTAGCTAATCTATCTATCTTTATAATTGTAAAAAAAACCTCACAACTTTTAGAATGAAATTGTGTGTAATAGTTCCAACAATTTTCAGTCCAAGTATTAGAGTCCCTCAGGGCTCTGTGCTGGGACCAAAGTTGTTTGTTTTGTATGCGAATGATCTGGTGGATGTGTCAGGGCTTTTGAAGTGCGTTTTATTTGCAGATGATACGTTTTTTTTTTTTTGTTCGGGCGAAGATATTGAATGGATGTTAAAGCTGATACAGGCAGAATTCGTGAAAATACAGACTTGGTTCCAACTTAACGTTCTCATTAAATTTGGACTATCGAGCATGAACTTTGATGTGTTTAATAGAATTAAAAAGCAGAGGATTTAGTGTTCTCCAGGAAATTAACTAGTTTAGAGCAGCAAGTTGATTTATTTGTTGTGTTTCTGAAATAACGATACAAAAATGTATTAATTAACTTATTACTATAGACAAGACAAACATACCATGATAACTAAAGTGGCAAAGGACTATATTCAATAATAAAGCAATATAAAAAAGAGTTGTAAGCTCAATCATCCAGCAAGCAACAAAAAGCAATATAAAGTATATTAAACATCTTATCTAAACTAAACAAACATCTCACATGAGGCACATGGAGAGCATGACTTGGCTTATTAGCTTTAACACTACATGCAACTTAATTTCTGCATGACTAAAATATGAATTAACATGATGTTAACATCCAGACTAAATGATGTATCATCATTAGACTCACATTCTGTCATCTACACACAACAGGAAACTCTTGAAACTCTTGTAAATGAGTCCTCGAGGCTCAATGGGATTAACCTGTCTAAATAAAGGTTGAATGAAAAAAGGAAGCTCGATCATCCGGGAGGGACTCAGAGTAGAGCCGCTGCTTCTCCACGTCGAGAGGAGCCAGATGAGGTGGCTCAGGCATCTAGTTAGGATGCCTCCTGGACTCATCCCTGCTGAGGTGTTCTGGACACGTCCCACCGGGAGGAGACCCAGAGGAAGACCCAGGACACGCTGGAGGGACTATGTTTCTCGGCTGGCCTGGGAACGCCTCGGGATTCCCCCGGAGGAGCTGGACCAAGTAGCTGGGGAGAGGGAAGTCTGGGCCTCCCTACTTAAACTGCTACCCCTGCGACCCGACCCCGGATAAGCGGAAGAAAATGAAAATGGATGAATGAAAAAAAAGGAAACCAACAACAGATGCTCAAAAAACAAAACTATATCTGTGTTGGGAGAGAAAAAGACTTTACTGCACGCAGCAGTGAACTTTACACAGAACGGTGTCAGAGCAGCCGCGGTGCATTCAAAAATATAGGAATCATGAAATTCAGAAAGAAAACGAGCTACAGTCAAAGAGAACTTAGCTCAGCAAGCAAACTAACTACATAAACCATAACCATAAAACCATATAAACAATGTGGACTTTCTAACTAGAATTGTATAAAAATCATTACTAAAAAAAAAATCCACGTAGGGGTGGCCTGGGGGCCCTAAGCAACTGCTTATGATGCTTATGCCTCCGGCCGGCCTTGTTCAAGAATAATTACTAATACAAACATTTTATTCAGTGTTTCCCCTACCATTATACAGGTGGGGTGCCCCACCCCGCCAACAAAACCGAGCACCCCGCCTACCAAACTGAACTTGCCCCTCCCACCCCCACCCAGCACTGACATGTCACTTTAGCTAGTAGCACAAAATACAGGCTCTCTAGCTAAAAAGCCCAAGGCAGCACTCACATTGCCTCTTCCCTCATGTTGAACGCCCCCCGCCCTCGCTCAAAAACTGTTAGTACAAGCTGCACTCAGACATGTCTCCGTCCCCCCCATCAGCAAAAATCTTGGATGAGATGAGCACCCCACCATGGCAAGCTAACTAGGGGAAACACTGTTATTTGAATGTAATTGTAACTGTTCATTTGATGAAATGAGGTCAATTTGTCCTCCACTAGTCGAAGCTTATAGCAGCGTAGGATGAGGAATAGGTCAGGAAAACCAAGCCAACTAACTATAGGATTTAGCAAAAAGGAAAGTCTTAAGTCCAGTCTTAAAACTGGACAATGTGTCAGCCTTGCAGACAGAAACTGGAAGTTGGTTCCACAAGAGAGGAGCCTGATAACTGAGAGATCTGCCTCCCATTTTGATTTTGGAAACTCTAGGAACCACAAGTAAACCTGCAGTCTGAGAGCGAAGTGCTCTGTTAGGAAACTATGGAACAGTAAGATCTGTGATTATAAGCTGGAGCTAGGTTGTTGAGAGCTTTGTAGGTGAGAAGTAAGATTTTGAATTCAGTTCATGAATCATTTTGTTGGTCCTGATGATCAAAGGTCAGACATACTGTAGTAGCTCGCCGGGCTGCGACTACTGGAGATGATTTTTTGAAGATTAAAGCTGATTTTTGTATCCACAGCTTGAGTAACTGTATTCAGCCGTTCACATTAACTTGTCCAGGTCTCATGCTTCAGCCAGTGTTGTACCCACTCCTGCAGCCCCCCCCCCCCCCCCCCCCCCCAGTCAATTCGAGTATATGTAACAGAAGACGTTTCGCTCCTCATCCGAGGAGCTTTCTCAATTCAAAGAGCAGTGAGTGAGGGGTTCAGGTTAAGGCTGAGTGAGATAAGACACACACTCATATGTAGATTGGCAGTTCACACCTAAACACCTTAACAGTAGGTCTTTGTTCCTCTAATTCACAGACGAGGCCCCTCTGTTCCCATCAGGTGTGAAAACCGTCTGGGAATCTGTTTTAGGAGCCGTTTACACGGCGTGTATTTTGAGTGCATCCGCAGCGTTCTCTCTGCGGATCTGCTGATCATTTACACGACACCAGCGGCCCCCCCTCTTTGAATCCAGAGGTTTCTGAACCCTCCTTCCAGAGTGGAGGTTTTTCGCTGACCCCCCGCTGATAATGTAAACATCTCCCGCTGAGGCTTTGTGTTAAACCACATGCGCACACGCACACGCGGACTGACGCTACATCTCTATCAACATGGCGGCGGACACACTGCTTTCAGAACCTCGACTGATGGAATATATTTATAATCTTGTAGTTAATCTATGTCAGATTACAGGTGCTGTGACAGACATCTGTGTTGGAAGAGACACGATCTGATCCAGTTCTAATGTCGCTGTTTATAGAACGTGGCACGCGCACACGTCGTGCTGCACTATAACATAAATGTGCTAAATAACAACAGTTTAATAATAATAAACAGTATTTATCTTAAATTTGAGATATATAATGAAGCTCTCTGGACATTATGTGATTAAAATGATGCTAAACATATTGCATGCTATTAACATTGAAAATGAAGACATCAGGTTTAATTTTTATTTTTTTTATTTATTCAACACCACAAACTGATAATTAAACTGAACATTGAATGGATTGAATAAAAGAACTGAGGGGAATTTTAAATAAATAGTTCATCCATCATCTCTCTCTTCCACGTCCTGCTGCCGAGCCTCGTTCAGAACCGGTCCGCCTGGTGGAAGGACAGCTCCTTCTTCTTTCAGGAAAAAATAAAAACTCGTTGGTTGTTTTGTAACCAAAGTAAACACAAACTAATATTATTAAGAACATTTGATTTACCTGCTGTAAACCAGCTACTGATGATCACAGAGTAAAGTCCGACATTGTTGACTCGGTTCTGGTCCACTCAGAGACCAGTGTGGAGCTGTTAGACGAAGCGGTGCCGCTTGGCGTCAAATCTGTCGACTTTTATCCACAATTCAGCCAAAATCCAGCTAGAATCCAGCTCTAACTTGTTAAGATGTTGTTAGCAGAGCTTTTTAGCTCACAGGAAACAGCGTGCCAAGGCAGCACGCATGCGCATTAGGTGAAGGTACAAAATTCACGGCGCCATCTAATGACCCGGCATGATAACTGCAGCGGATTCGGGAGGGCGGGGGGGGGGGTCTTGTGGATGCATGTAAACCCAAAATACGACCGTGTCAACGCAAATCTTTTCCTCTAATTAACATACGAAAAAAACCTATGTTTCCCCCCCATCGTGTCCGTGTAAATAGGGCCTTAAAGTTGCATTATATGTTTTTGAAAGTGAAAATCTGAGGCCTCCTCCTCTATTAAGAGACGGCTTTTCTCTTTTTACGTAAATTGCTTCCTTCACCCCCCGTGTTCTCGGTCCAAAATGTGCACATTTTGGTCCTCAAAAGAGTGTCCCTTATCTGTGAGGTGGAGGTGAACAGCTGAATCTTGTCCAGAGGAGGTGACTCTCCTGTGTTGAGCCATGCGTCTGTGAAAAGGCTGTTTAGCGGCTGGAGCTGCTAGCTCTCCAACGTTCGTCCGCCTGCACCAGCTGAGTGAAGCGAGTGTGCACGGGAGGACTTGCCGTTGCATTTCTTAGAAATTTAAAGCATCAGTCCAAAATTGTGTTATGAATATTGAAAAAAAAAAAAAAAAAAACACAAGTCACTTTGGTGTATAAGTCACAGGACTGACATCTATGCAAAAAACTGTGACTTGCACGCCAGAAAATATGGGTATGTGTGTGTGCTAACAGTGTGAGCTGGATAACTTGAAAAAAGAGCAACATCCCAACTTTCATGTGGGTGTGTGGTTGCAAATAAGTGTAAAAAAGATCACTTTAGAGGCCAAAGAGTAATCTGATGGTCAAGGCCACCATTGGCCACCCTTTCATTCCACCACTGCACCTGGTCGTAGATAAAGTTGTGCCCTCCACTCGCCAGGCTCCGTCCCTTTACGCTGCCTCAGAAAACTGATCTGCACAGCGTACCTCAGTCCCACTCATCCTGCACCAACACATGAAGGTTTACAGAAAAACACTCATCTCAAAAACTACAAACATTCATTGTTCAAATCCATCAGCGATGGAGGACATTGGTGTATTGCTCATCTTCTTTTTGTTTGTGCACGTCGCCACAGGGATTGGCCAGATTAACTGGTTCACATGTGAATGGCCAAAGGCGTTTTAAAAATGGCCTCATCTTTTCAACGATATAACTGTAAAATAAATACTTCAAGATACGCTCTTAAACCCTGAACACAGTGAAAAATTGATTCAATAACTATATAAATCCAGTGAAGTTTGTTTGTTTGTTTGTTGCTTAATTTTATTGGGAAGGATTTCCTGGCACATTTTAAACTCAGTTCAGTGTAACATGAGCACGTCTCATTTTTAAAAAATTTTTGTTTTTACTGAACTTGTTCTTTTATTTTTACGACTGTTGCTTTCAGTCTAATGGCTACTTCCATCGTAATGCACAAATCTAAACCGGATCCACGACACAAACACATTAAGTTTAGTGGGTTTCAGTTTCCTCCTTGGGGTATTTGCTGATTTATCCATTTATTACCACACATCCTCTCTGTTCCACTCAGAGTTGCAGGAATGAACCCAAAACGTTTGAAGCTTTTATCACGCTGCAGTAAAAATGTTTCAGAAGGTCTCGTTTCATCCTGCGGCACGGTGGTTCAGTGGGTAGAGCTGCCGCCTTTCAGCAATAAGGTCGCTGGATCAAATCCCGGCAGTGTGGCCTTTCTGGGTGGAGTTTGCATGTTCTCTCTGTTCATGTGTGGGTTTTCTCCTGGTACTCCAGTTTTCTCCCACAGACCAAAAACATGCACGTTAGACTGATTGGTAACTCTAAATTGTCTCTAGTTGTGAGAGAGAGTGTTGTTTGTCTCGATGTGTCACTATGATGAACTGGAGACCTGTCCAGGGTGTCCCCCGCCTCTTGCACAGTGATTGCTGGACATGGACACCAGTGACCCCCGTGACCCAAAAAGGAAGAAGCGGGTAAAGATAATGGATGATGGATGGTTTATTCCCAGCTATGGCCAGATGATTTTACTTTTTCTTTGTCGTCTCACAGTCTTAGTGCAGAACTTTACAGTCCGTTCCTCTGTCTTGGCGTCTTAGGTCCAGGCCCTGGTGCAGCGAGAGGCCATCCCATCAATGTGAACGCCCCCGGCTCACATCAAAGCCCTGAGAATGTCCAGCAGATAAAGAAACGCATGGAGCAGGAGCTGAAGAGCGACAAATACAAATCCAACAACAACAAAGGCTACGTCTTCACACTGATGCCTCTGTATGCCATTGGAGTAGGAGTGTTTGCAGCCTACAAGTTTTTGAAGGTCGGTACAACGTTGATTCTGAAAAAGTGGAGATAATGTGTGAAATGCAAATAAAAACAGAATGCAGTGATTTAAAATCCTTATAAGCCCTGAGGTTTTTTTTATTTATAATGAAACATTGTACATGTAACTTAAATCTTTAATGTGAGTTTGTTCGCTGTGGTGACCCCTGAAGAAGGGAGCTGCCAAAAGAAACTTTAGTCTGTAAACATCTAGGAACTGAGAAGACCAACTGCTGAAGGTTTATTTTTAGGAACATGTCCCATTATTGGCTGACCTGAGTCTTGGAAATGTACATTGTTCTAAAACCTGTGTACTCTTCAACTTTAATGTTGCCTTTGCAGATGTGTAAGCTGCCCATGTCAAAGGCACTTATGCACCCACACGTCATCAGAGAGGCAGAATTTTGAACGGTGCACTGATAACAGATGGTCCCTCTTTTTAGTACGGAGGGCGTTGCGTCTGCAGTTTCCAAAAATAATTTCAAATTTTCTGACCAAAGAACAGTTTTCCATTTTGAACGAGCTTTGGTCCGAAGAAGACGGCAGAGTTTCTGGATGGTGTTCACATGTGACTTCTTCTTTGCATGATAGAGCTTTAAGCAGCATCTGTGGGCAGTATGGTGAACTGTGTTTACAGACCTTGATCTGTGGAAGTGTCCCTGAGCCCATGCAGTGATGGATCAGAACAGAATCAGCTTTAATATTGTGGCCCCTGAGGGCCCGAAGATCACGACCCTCCAGTATTGTTGGTCAGTCTTGTCCTTTGAGCTCAGAGATTTCTTCAGTCTTCTCAAGACGATATGAACTATAGATGATGAAATATTTAAAGTCTTCCCAATTGTCTGTTGAGGAACATCCTTCTGAAATTGTCGATCTGTTTTTAGACCCAGCTTCCTCACAGTCTGCTAAACCTCTGCCCGTCTTTACTTCTCAGAGTATCAGCCTCTCTAAAAAGCTCTCTTTATCCCCAGTGCTCTCACTGACCTGTTGCCAACAAGAAGTTGTAAAATGCTCCTCCAACTGTTTCTTATTCGTACCGTCCAGTTTTACAGCCTTTGTGCCCAAGGTGTTCTGAGGTGCGTTGGTTCTATTGTATTCAAGCTTTCTGTTTTCCTTAAAGTGCAGTGTTTCCCCTACCAAAATACAAGCGGGGCGCCCCGCCCCGTTAACAGAACCGAGCGCCCCACCTACCGAACTGCATGCACCCCCACCCCCACCCGACAGCACTGGCGTATTGCGAAGTTAGCAACGCGCTATCTATAAAGCTAATGGCAGTGCTCACGCTGCCTCTTCCCTCACATTGAACTTCCCCTGCACTCGAAAACTGCCGATACATACAGTGTGTTGCTCACATGCCCCGCCCCGTCGACAAAAATTACAGACGAGTAAGCCTGTCGCGATAAACAATAAATCAATTAATCGCATGATAAAAGAAAATTATCGACCTCATTTTCATTTATCAGCTTCATCGTTTCTTCATGTCTCTCTCTTTCTACTGAAGACACTGGGTGGAAAAAAAACGGTTCATCACCGTGGCTCTTCACTCCCCCCCCCCCCCCTTTCTATTTTCTCTTTAAAAATCTATTTTAACCATCAAAAATCGTGTTTTTAAATCTTTAAAAGCAGCTAAGCTGAGAAGCTTAGCTACGAGCTAAGCTAACAGGCCGACCTCGGGGGGGAAAAACCTCCGTCTTGTTGACGCTCCAAAATTCACGGTTGAAACCCGTGCCTTCATCTAAAAAGTTGTTTTTCTCTGCAAAAAGAAGCTGAGAACTCGTTTACCGATTTTTTTTTTTTATTGAACGCTTTGTGTGAGAAATGCTAAAGAGCTCAAACCACACCGATGGAGTGTCCACCATTTTGAGAACCGAAGTGAGGCAGCCCATGTCACGTCAAAGAGCCTCCATATAATTTTTCTTCAAGACACGCTGCTCTCTCCCTCACTATCCATCCTTTGGCTCAAACAGTCTTATACTGCCATCCAGTGGTCAAAAAGATACTACACACAAAAATTAACCAACATTTCTTCTTAAATTTGACAATAATTACTAATTATTGTCAAATTTCAAACAATATTATTGTTTATCTCAATAATTTCTGAGATAATTAATTGCCCAATCGCCCGTCCCACCATGGCAATTTATCTAGGGGAATCACTGAAGTGGTATGGCTTTCAGGTTTACAAATCATTGCATTCTGTTTTTATTTGAATTTCACTCAACTTCCAAACTTTTTTCAGAGTTGCTGCTCTGCTCGTACTGGGCCTGTAACTTGAGTTCACAAATGATATAACTTTGGAAATAATGCAAAATGATGTGGCTGTTTCACAGATCAAGTCTTCAGACGGCAAGGCACAGAAGAACAAACTTGCAAAAGGTGCAAAAAAGTCTGTTGAGGCAGGTGCGCATCGCTCTTTGGCTGATTTGTGTACTCTTTGGTCACATGTATTTGATTACCGTGAGTCATTCGTATGTTTTGCTTCATTCATTGTGGGTTTGTTTTCCTACAGAGAACCAGCTCAACGAGTTGGAGCAAAGACTAGCACAAACAGAAAGGATGCTCAACTCCATCCTCACCCAGCTGGACCCACTTACCAACTGGTGAGGCACGACTTCTACAGTCCGTGGTCTCTGAGTGTTCTCTGTTCGGGCCGCCTCCTCCTCGTCATTCTCTCTGAGGGATGTTGGTTTGAAATAACAGCACAGACAAATACTTCTTCTAAATTTAATTGTGTTTCCTTCGAACCCCATCAGTTGAGTCTTTTTATGTTAATTTTTTTTAACTTTTGCTGCCAAACAAGAACAAAGCAGGATTTACATACAAACCGGATTCCAAAAAAGTTGGGACACTAAACAAATTGTGAATAAAAACTGAATGCAATGCTGTGGAGGTGCCAACATCTGTTTTATTCAGAATAGAACATAAATCACAGATCAAAAGTTTAAACTGAGAGAATGTATCATTTTAAGGGAAAAATTTGTTGTTTCCAAATTTCATGGTGTCAACAAATCCCAAAAAAGTTGGGACAAGTCCATTTTTACCACTGTGTGGCATCCCCCCTTCTTCTTACAACACTCAACAGACGTCTGGGGACAGAGGAGACCAGTTTCTCAAGTTTAGAAATAGGAATGCTCTCCCATTCATGTCTAATACAGGCCTCTAACTGTTCAATCGTCTTGAGCCTCCTTTGCCGCACCTTCCTCTTTATGATGCGCCAAATGTTTTCTATAGGTGAAAGATCTGGACTGCAGGCTGGACATTTCAGTACCCGGATCCTTCTCCTACGTAGCCATGATGTTGTGATTGCTGCAGAATGTGGTCTGGCATTATCGTGTTGAAAAATGCAGGGTCTTCCCTGAAAGAGATGACGTCTAGATGGGAGCATATGTTGTTCTGGAACCTGAACATAGTTCTCTGCATTAATGGTGCCTTTCCAGACATGC